TATCAGCTCTGTGTTTTCTGAGGAGCCTCAAAACTGAAAGGCTTCATCATTAGCCAATAACAAGAACACCTTAGAAACCATAAAGCCAGTGAATATTGCTTCATATCAGGTGAATTGACCAGGATCAAAAGCCAGAAATGTACCTGCTGTTTTAAAATTCATGTGCAAGGAGTAGGAGTGGTCAATACAACAAGGAAGAAGATGATCACGATTGGGGTCACATCCATGAGATGATGTGAAACCACAACTGTCAGAATAAATAAGATGCCAGATTACAGGATACAGGCGGGGTCACATCCATGAGATGATGTGAAACCACAACAGTGTCACACGCATCAGAATAAATAAGATGCCAGATTACAGGATACAGGCCATAAGCAAACAGGAGTCCATAGTTAGGTGTGAGAAATCAGTGGGTCCTCACAGACATGATGGTGTGGAGAAATGCCCAATCATTAGTGGACTTTCTTCAATGCCTAGTGCAAAATCCTGGCAATCATGGGAGCAGCTAGTTTCCCACTGCCAGGAGGCTGGTGGGGGGCTTATACAAATGTGTATGTGTCCCACCTCCCCTCTGCATATGGGAAAAATGAGCTTTCAGACAGATGCTGAGGTATGTAGGCAGGGAATCAGGAGGGCACCGAGGGGTCTGCGAAAATGGAGTATCAAGAGTTCTGCTCAAGGAGACTGCCTCACGCAGAGTGCTCTTATTTGCCATTCCTAAAGAGTAGAGGTTGAAGCAAGCTTCCAGAAGGAACTCCAGAGGGGCTGGAAGGAGGCTGGGCCAGGGTAGAGAAAGAGGAAGGAAGAAAAGGTCTCTGACTGAGGAAATTACCATGCAAGAAGAAAGTCACTGCCTCGGCCCCCCAATCTGGTGTTAGAATCCAGAACTCGGCGAGGTTTACAGAGGGAAAAGAGCTAGAGAACTGGGTCAAAAACAGGGATATAACAATGTTCTACAAAAGTATGTGAGAAAATGCCCAACCACATTGCTAAAACAAATTAATGAAAAGGAGACACCATATTGTTGTTGGTGTTTTGTTTTTTGCCTATGAAATTAGCAAACAATAAAAAATTGGAATGTAAACTTGAGCAAGCTTTCTGGAGGATAATTTAGTAACAAGTATCAAATGTGTTAAAAATGCTTGTACCCATAGACCCAGCAATTCCATTTTTAAAAAAAATCTCTTCTAAGAACATAATTAGAGTTGTGCCCAAAGAAGTACAGCAAAGTTATTCGTTCATAGTGTTTCTTATACTATCCGCCAATCACCTTCCAAAAGAGAGACAGAGATAGAGGTAGAGTTAGGGATAGGGATAGAGATAGGGATAGAGGTAGAGATAGAGATAGAGAAAATAAATGTCCAAAAATAAGAGCTCGGTAAGGTAAAACTGATATTTAACTATAGAATGGACTAGCATGCAGCTTTGAAGGCTATATGTTGACATAGAATGATGTTTACAATATGTCACCACATTAAAGTTTTTGAAACTGTTTATATAGTATTGTATCCCCAAACAAATCTCTATATGAAATATATAAATCTATGCTTAGAGAAACAACTGGAGAATCTTATATCAAAAACCAATGACTTTAGGGGGTAGAAATACAGTAATTTTTTTTGTGGGTGGGGTTATGTTTTATGCATTCTGCATTGACTATGTCTTATTTTTATAATTAGATAATATATTATTTTTTAAATGAACAGAGTGCTTACATCTAGGATTTTTCTTAAACAACCAGAAACAAAGGCTCCTGCATCATCTAGATTCTAGAAGTAAATTCCTAAATCTGTTTTTCTTCTGAGGTTTTCTCTTTCAGCAAAGGCACATCTCTTAGTCTCTTTCCCACACAACATATCTGAGCAGGTGGCCCTGAAATTAAAACAACGACGACAACAAAAAACACAAACACACACAAAAAAACAACACAGTGCCGGACATCACTCTGACATTACCATTCCCTCTACTACCAATAATTGCTGAGCTAGGCATCATGGCTAACTGTGGATCCACCTCCATCACAGCCCCTGTCCACTAAGAGTACTAGGAATCACTGCTGATTTGCAGATCCCCATTCTGCCATGGATACTCTTCTGAGTCCTCGACTAGACTCTGAGTAAACCGAGCTAGGGGGAAATCCCCAGAGTGGTGTGTGAAGACGCCACCTCCCCTTCCCAGCCCAGGTAGCCACAGAGCCTTGACAACCTGAAGTGGGCATAATTCTCCCCATGAGCCCTTCTCTCTTCCTTCGATAACAGACAAAACCAGCTCTGTAGGGTGAATATGGAGGTGTCATGCAATGAGTCTTGCTGCATATCTACCCCGATCCTTGACCCCAAAAGCAGCAAAGTGCAAACTTATTTATTCAAACTGCCATTTGATTATGTTGAAACCCAGCTGCTGA